CCCCAAAACCCCAAAACCCCAACACCACAAAGCTGGAATAATTGATAGTAAATGATTTATGAAATAAAGATTATATAAATATTTCAAAATGAAAATAGCTATAATGTTTTATAATGAATGTCGTGTGGGCATTCATAAATATTAAGTCTGATAGCCATAGTCCTCTTTTAATCGACTTGTGATGCAATATTTGCAGGAGGGCAATAAATTTCTATGATCACATTTTCTCATATAAAATTTAGAATCAGTTAGAAACAGTTCCTCTTGATCTTTGAGTTTTTATTTCTGATCTTTAAAGTTATCTCTGCACTATGCTATAGATTTAAGTTATTTTAGTCTAATGTTTAAAGGTTTCTCATTTCTTGCTTGACTTAAAATCTATGTTTTGGTACTATGTAGTCTTGACATTCTATCGTTTGATTCTAATTTTACATCAGGGGAAGATTTAAAGCCAATGTATTAAGATGAAGTATCAACATCATACTATCCTAATTTGCTTACACTTTCTTTGATGTCCTAGAATTTCTTCCTTTGTCCAGGAGTGCTTGTTTTGATTTGCCTATAGGTGCTATAATTCATATACTTGGTGAATTAATCATCTCCCTCATTCATTTCATTCAGTTTCTTTTATACTGAATTATTAATGTTTCCTAATGTTCTATTTGTTGCTCTTGAACTTGGGTTTAGAGTGCTAAATCTTTAGTTTTACAATCTATAATGCATTATTGAAGGAGTATTTCTAGAGATAGTTTGATTCAAGTATTATGACTATTGGTAATTAGAGTTATAATCATCAATTATTAGAGAATTATTATCATTGTGGGTTTTATTTTTAAAATCACTTTCTACCATTCCAAACCATCTCTCTTTTTTCATTTAGCTTTATATTGCTTTCATTGTTGTCATATTAATCTTTTTATCAAACTAAGTAAATTTAGTATTTTCCATTACTGTTGAACTACCTCTCTTTCTAGTGTTATTTTTTCTACGAACTAATAATTTTGGCTAATCCCCCAAGCTTTATAATTATTACTTTATATATTACTAATTATAGCCGGTTGAAATGTCAATAATGTTACTAATGTCTTTATTCTGGATTAATGAAGCATTTTTCTCTTCGTTTACACTCATATTTAGGTGTACGGTTTCCCTTTTACTGACAAACTTTAATCTGAGACCTTATGCTTTGATATTAGGTTAGTTTGATTTAATATTGAAATCAATAGATTTTTTTTCTGCGTTAGATTAATCTGAGCTTTACAAATCTACTGATCCTCTGTGAAATATTTTAATCTCATTTTCTCAGGCAATTATGCTATTTTAGCCAATGGATGAGCCTTCATCTTCCTATATCGTAAATATGTCTTATGTTCTTTTATAGTTGTAAGTTTTAGAGTTGACATCGTCTTATTAAGAATCTTTTGTACCATTTGATTCGATATTTCTACTCTAGTTTTCATCTGCTTTTGACATCATTATGAAGTCATCTATCTTTACAGCATTCGAATCACTAGTTTAAACTCTCCTATGCTACTTAGGTTTTGGACTTGCTGCTCTACTGATGATTTTGATCTAAGATTAGTTATAAAGTCTATCTTGTGGAGGTTTTTCTATCTTTATATAACGTATAAGTTCTCCAATTGATAGCTGAGTTGTCTTTAAGAGATTCATTTTATTATAAAAATTTAATTTTTATTGCTTACATTGTATAATTATACCTTTATTTATTTACAACTTTGGGGTTTTGGGGTTTTGGGG